AAATCAATGGATGGCACTGGATGGAAATGTCGTCTTGACACTCGGGCAGATTTAGGCCCGGAAATTGAGCTGGGTATGACGAGGCTGAGGCAACAGCCTTATTCACTAGAGGAAGATCCGTGCCTTGGAGTTGGTTGGTTTCGAATCACCTGGTTTGGTTGTTTGGTTAATTTTGTTAGGTTCTTGTATGTGCTGAAACATTTCTTCTTCTTCAGGTGAGTAAACGAACCATTTAGAAGGCTGTGAATGTGGATTCTGAGTTGGAAACGTTATGGAATCCTGCTGGGAATACATTAAAACAGGGGTGGCCAACCCAAATGATCTTTCGGGCCACTTTGGAAATGCATCATAACTCCGCGGGCCACATATAAAATTATATATCCCCATATTAGATTTAGATACACTATAGACATTTTTTTGAGTGAAAAATTGAAACATAATGAGTTATTATTATTGTGTTTACTATTATTCTTACATGTAAACATAGACAACACACTGTTTGCCGAGATAGGCTTAGGTTCGAAAACAGTTTACTTTTATCAGGTAAAATATCCTTCACAACAGCTTCCAAACATTCTGTCACAAATTTACCATCCGAAAATGTTTTCATTTTTTTTACAATCACAAATGAAACAGAATAGCTTGCCTTAACAATATTGGAAGGTTGCTGTAATGCTGCACCAAACATTTTTTGTTGAGCCTTTAATTGCGACTTAAACTCCTTGAGCTTCGATTGTTTCACTTCTTTATCGAACTTCAAATAATCCTTATGTTTTGTTTCGTAATGCCTCTTAACATTATATTCCTTAAATACAGCAACGACCTCTCGGCAAATTAAACATAATAATTTTGTATTTTGAACTATGAAGAAGTACTTTTCTTCCCATTCATCGCTATACTTTCTATTTTCATCCACTATTCTTCTTTTCTTTGCAGTCATACTGAAAATAAGCAGGCAATATCTGTCATATATTCGCAAGAATATTATTTTAAAATCAAAGTTAATTTTTTCTCATAATTTCGACAGATAATTTTTGAATATATGGATGCACAAATAATGTATTTTTTTAATACATTGGTTTTCACTACTTTGGCCATTATAAAATAAATATATTTTGTAAAAGTGTGATGAATCTCGCGGGCCGGAAAAATGTTCAAGGCGGGCCACATGCGGCTCGCGGGCCGCGGGTTGGTCACCCCTGCATTAAAAGGTAGAGAAACAAAGTGTCTAACGTTGTATTTTGTTTGGAATGTTTTTAAAGTAAAGCACGCTATGAATTATGATGACAACAGGGGCTAATTGAATTTTGTCGTATCTCGTAATTTGGGATGCCGTTCCAACAATCTCTTTGCAATCTATAATTAGTTTAATTCAGTATCCGTATGTTTCACAAGTTAATAAAAAGTTTGTAAATGAGTTTTTGTACTACAGAGAAAAGTACAAATTACACATGTCTGACTAAATTCAATAACAGATTATACTCAAAGGTTAGTTTAACGCCATTGTTCTGTGGACGATATTGGAGTGTTAACTGTGTTAAAACTTGTAGGGAGCTTGGCAGTAGTAGGAAATCAGCCAACAGATTTCTTGTTCAGAACAGTCCGACACTGGTCCTGTTCTGTTTCTAACTTACTCGTATAATGACAAAACATTAAATAAATCTGCATCTGTAAAATTAGAGGATTATTTTTAAACGTAGGTCTATTCATTCTTTCGGCGCAATACACAACTGACAACAGGAACTGCAAAAACCAGACATTAATTTGTCGTTAATGTTGATTAAATTGTACGGTCAGTAAGAAAGTTGTAATTTTATGAAATGTTAATTCGCTTGAACTAAAAAAGCAAATTATCGAAACGCGCATTTCAACTTTCGTCAGCTTGCGCTGAGTGTACCAGAATTTCTTGCTTTTGAAGCGTGAGAATGCGCCCATGGGGAATCCTTATTACTTCAAATTACCGTGAACATTTACATTTCATAGGGGCAGTGCACTGAAACGTTTTGCAAGGAATGAGGGAAGGTGGATCGAGTCAGGTGTTTCGGTCTCCAAATCAAGATTAGAACAATGAGGGATCTGAGGTTTTCACGGCGGTGAGTCTGAAGATGGCTGTCTTCTGGGTTGTCGCGCCGTGTAGTCAGGGTAATGTGCATTCCGTTTCAATAATAATACATTATACACAATAATAAATTGACTGCCTTGTCCACACGACCGAGCGGATTTTCTGGAGCCCAATACACACACTGTAGAATTCAGCTTAAATTGTGCTTCATCAGACCAAATCATTTTCCCCACAAACTCCCCATCCTCGTGTGCCATGTGTTGAAACCACTCACAATACTGCATTCTTCGATCGGGGACGTCTTCATTCATTGCATGTAATAATCTTGGGATGTAAACTTTCCATTTTCTCTCTTAAGTATGCGTTGTATGCTTGATCTGCTAACTCATGTCTCACGCGCACATTGTTTGGCAGACTTTTGTGGCCTGCGTGTAAACTGTTCCAAGACCATACATAGACGAGGAAGCAGGACTCGTTGCTGTGCGAGGCCTCCCTGATCTTTCCTTGTGCACATCACACACCACACCATGGGTTTCAAACTTATCACGAAAGCGTGCAATTGTCAGGTGTTGGAGTTTCTGTAGCAAATCACGCCTCCATTGTCGTTTTGTTTGACTGTCTTGCCCGTCCGTCGCAAGATGACTCTAGCATTCATGATATTTGCGACATCTTTTGAGAGAACATCATACTACTACACATTGCTACCGTAATTCGCGAAAAATCCATAGATAATACCTTAAATAGGTGTTATCTATGTGTTTCCATAATCTTTACCCCACCCCAAATACCGTATTTTATGTAGGAATTTAAAGTTAACAAATATTTTGCTTTATATCTCTTTTTAAAATTAGTTGTTTCATAATAGATTATGGCTTTATTAATACTATCCTTTAATAGTTTATAGATTTAATTACTCGTGTTTAAATTCGCCAATAAGATTTGACATGACACTCACAATGGATAACCAATGAGATGTCTGGATTTGTCACGTGGTCGTTTGGAGGTAGGTGATGCGTCGCTAATAATCAAGACTTTTATTTATCTTTTAATTCATCAAATTATCCATATAATGGTAAGTACTATATTTTGCTCATTTCAGATATTTTAAGAAGTAATTTTCGTTTTGTTCTGTGATTACAATGGTTTTCACGAATGGATTGTGCTACCTCTGTGAAATACGTTATTAGTTATGATTAATAAAATATAAGTTCTGGCATCTAATTAATGCGAAAGTAATGTGAATTTCTAATTTTGTGTAATACGGTTATCATATAACCTAAATTTAATTAATTTTGCTTAGAAGTAGGCGGTTGATGCATGTCGACAACCCAGGAACTATTGTCACTGAGTATTGAAAAATTAAAATTTTTGTTAAGGCTTGAATAAATGATGGAATTTCCTTGTAAGTGAAAGTTGAGTCTGGAACTAGTTTGTTATAAACTTGGTGGGCGAGCGAACAGCCATGTTCCTTGGAACGATCAGTGAGGTTCTGTATGAAATGACTTTCCAATGTTGCTAAGAAGGGATTTGTGTAACCAGTGATGCATCGGTTGTATATATTTGTACAAGCATTGATGTGGCAGTCTTGAAAATGGATGGTACGTATTTCATATTGGCTAAACATTGTCTGAAGAATCACTGCTTCCATATGTGTGGGTTTTGAACTGTGGCTCTAAAACATTTAAGAAATTCATAATCTACTATAATTTTATGTTTCACTTAATAGCATATGAAAGGACAGGATTTTTCAATGTGTTGTCATGTGACAGGGTAGTCTGAAGTTGTGTTGTGTTTCAGAGTGAGTGGATCTCCATTCATGTTGGCAAATTGGCAACGAATGCTGGGAATTGTACTGCCTGGAACATGGTATTCAGCCTGATGGTCAAATGGCTGTAAAAAGCAATGATAACAGCTTCAAAACATTCAAGGAAACTGGCGCAGGAAATCATGTAGCACGGGCAATTTTTGTGGACTCTGAGCCCACAGTAGTAGGTATGTACATTTGAAATCTCATAAGTGAAGCCAAGGAGAATCCTGTTTAATTGTATTGGGAAATGCCCATTGAAATGTAGCAGAGTGTAATGTTGATATGTTGAAATTGGAAGTTGACTGGTGTGTTCACAGATGAAGTTCACACTGGCATCTACAGTCAGCTATTTGACCATAATAATTTGAATAATGGAAATGGAGGTGCTACTCACAGCTATGTCAAAGGTCGCTACACCATCGGCAGTCAGATCGTGGACCCCGTTCTGAACTGCATCCGATAGCTGGCCGAGGAGTGCAGCAGTCCTCAGGGTTTCTTGATCTTCAATTCCTTTGGTGGGGGCACTGGCTCCGGCTTCACGTCCCTGCTGATGCAAGAACTGTCTCAAGACTACGGCAATAAGACCAGGCTTAACTTTGCAGTCTGCTCCCCCACTTTGGATCAGACACCTGCCGTGACTTTCAACACTCTCCTTGCCACCCGCGCCATGCTTAAACATTCTAAGTGTGTTTTCATGCTTGATAATGAAGCCATTTTAGACATCTGGCAACATAACCTGCATATTAAAAGCCCCACCAACACCAACGTGAACAGTCTGATTGCCCAGGCTGTATCTTCCATAACCGCTTTTTCCCAGCTTGATTACAATCAGAATGCTGACATCGCTAAATTGATGAATACCTTGGTGCCCAAACAAGCCTTCACTTCCCTGTCATTAGCTATGCCCCGCTCATCTCACATGACAAGGCAGGGAACATCCCAGGTCGCAGTGCATGGCTCACCGCTGCTGAGCTGTCTCCGAGTGGTAAGGAGAATGTTGAAAGTCATGACAGGTGTCTGATCCGAAGTGGGGGAGCAGACAGCAAAGTTAAGCCTGGTCATATTTGCGTAGTCATCCGACAGCTTTCTCATCAGCTCGAACGTGAAGCTGATGAAAAGACTGTCAAATGACTACGCAAATATGACCAGCTGTCTATAGCTGGAATTACAAATGCTTGTTTTGAGCCTGCCAACCAGATGGTGAGGTGTGACCCAGCAGATGGAAAGTACATGGCCGGATGCATGCTATACAGAGGGGACGTTGTGCCAACACTACCAAAGCGACCATCATGAATGAGCGCTTGATCCAATTCACGGACGGGTGTCCACCTGACTTCATTGTTGGCATCAACTCCAAGCCACCAACTGTGGTATCAGGAGGTGACCTGGCAGAGGCAGCGCTTGCACTCTGCATGTTGTCCAACATGACTGCCATTTCGAAGGTCTTTAATCAGATTAGGAGCTCTGTCAGGCACAATTACAGTAAAAGTAATGTTGATGATTTCTTGTGTGGGAGTATGGATGAACTCGAGTCGTTTGAAGCTCGCAACGAGCTTAGAAAGCTGGTGAGAGATTACGAGAAGGCAGGCAGGCATTCAGTTGTAAGGAGAATGAGAGGGGGCAGAGGAATATTGAATGTCTGCTCCAGTTTCAATTTTGGTTGTCAGTATTGTAAGAATTTTGTGTTTGTCAAATAATGTTTCAACCTGTCCATCAGTGCTTGCCAATGTAATAAAGTGAGTTCATTTTGAAAG